AAATAAGAGAAATAGCTTCAGAAGCCTGGAGCCAGACTTTCTCTCGTATCCGCTGTCCATTAAAAAAAAAAACCACGTGTTTTTTTCGTATGAATTCAGGTAATTTCAGTGTGCAGTCATCAGAGCTGAGAGGGTAGGGGGGGCGGGCGGCCGCGGGGGGGGGGGGGAAGGAAAAGCCATTAGTCGGAGCAAGCATCACTTTGCGAACATTTAATGGGGGTCAGGCCCTGAAACAGGAAACATAAAATAAAGTGTGTGTGGCGTCGTAATTACTAACGCTGCACCACTGCCATCATCACCGCCGTGCCCGCTGGCAACTTCTTATGATGAGATGGCTGTCGCTGGATTTCCCGGCTCCGAGGATTTTCCTCCTGTGGCCCGGCGGTTAGCGCCTTGCACTGTTCGTAGCAGAGGTTCCCAGTTCGTATTTAGCAGCCCCTCGCCCCCCCTTCCCGGTTAATAACTACCTCGCCTGGTATACAGGAGGTCGTGGGTTCGATCCTGACCTTGACATTTATATATTTGGAGTTTGCATGTTCTCTGGGTCCTCCGGTTTTTCTCTCCACATTTAGGATCAACGTGCGTTGAGAGTGTTTGGCTGCTATGAATTTGCACGTGATAAACCACTTTGTAGAGCGATCATTTGTGGCCAGGTCGCTTGTGAAAAAGAGCTGCATAGCTCAGTGGGCCTTACCTGGTAAAACTAAAACTAGTTCTTAGGTTGGTGAATCGCATAATTGTCGCCAATCTCCCTTCCCGTGAAAGAGATCTTCACGGCTCATCGGATTCCTCCAGTCCCAACTAAAGACTCTGATTCTGATACAGATTCTGAGGTGGCGCCTTACGCTGACTCACAAGAAGGCCGTCCAGCAAGTGTAGTTACGAATCTCCATCTATTCCATCTGGATGGGAAAGAGCGTCCCCCCTTGCACACGTAGGAATTGTTTCATCCGAGCTTTCTCCCTCCCACGCGTAAACGCCCATTAATTGGCCGGTAACACCTTGACATATAGAGGACTGCTGAGCTCGGAGCGGGGCGGGGCGGGGGGGTGTAGATGGGGCGGGGTCTGAATGCGGTGACTTCCCCGCTCGTCTGTGGCTGCTCCTCGTCCTCGTGCCTATGAGTCGTCCTCTCTCTTCGAGAGCGATGAGCGAACGCTGCGCGACGGTGCGTTGCAAGTTGACCTTATTATTATTATTCGTGAAGTTCCCAGGGCAAAGGGCATTCTAATTATAGTTAAAATGAAAGTCAAATGGTCTCCCAGCTCAAACAAGCTCTACTCTCCATTAGCCGCATTGAACCAACACAGTGGAAATTCCACATTCCCATGGCAGGGACCCACTGTCAATTTAACAGGCGCTGAATTTTAATAGGCGATAATATTTACACATGTTGCCGTAACATCTGCCAGTGCATCTTTAAAAGGAAAATAAATTTGGTTTTGGGGGAAAAAAATTAATAATTTGTGTTACTGTGGTTATTGAAGAGCTATGTTTGACACATATTTCATAATTGTGTGCTGATGACATCCAAAAAAGCGATATGGGACAATGTTAGGACTGATTTTGTGCCATAACACTGTCTCGAAATGTGTTTCATGGTGCCGTGGGTGGTGTGTGAACACGGCTGATAAAGTGACATCAATTAAATACGCTATTACTATCGTGCAGAATACACGCGCTTTACCCGGTGCAGCCATAACAACATCTTAACAACACCCGCCGGAGGGGTTTGCAGGTTCAGATCGTGGTTGGGGGTCGAGTTGGCCTATCACCATCATCATCATCATCTCCTTTTCACGGTTTACAAAATCAGTAAGCTTGTAAATAGACTGAAAAAAGAGACGTGGCAATATAAAATGATAAAACCACAGTTTCTCCTGGCTCCACATTGAGATGAGTGCTGGCTGGCGAAATGGATGCAATTGGGAGGAGCACGGAATGCAACAACCTTGAACAAATATCATGGATAGAACTAACCTGGAAGGAAGGTCATCATCATCGACATCTTTGAGAAAGTGCACGGCTCATAGAGATATGCACTAACATTGCCAATAGACTAACATTGCTCATATACTAACATTGCCCATACACGAATACATTAATAGACTAACATTGCCCATAGACTAACATTGCCCATTCTCTAACATTGCCCATATACTAACATTGCTCATACACGAACATTGCCCATATACTAACATTGCCCATAGATTAACAATACCCTTACACTAACATCGCACATACACTAATACTGCCTATAGACTCACAAGTTGAGTACATTTCAAGGATAGAGCTCAACGGAAAGAAGGCGATAATGCTGAAGTCTTGGAGAAAGGACACACGGCTCACAGACAGAGAGAGAGAGAGAGACAGAGCTGCCCAACGCAGTCTGGTGGAAATGTTTCAATTCGTGAAAGAACTCGATTCTCAACGAGGAATTAGGGGTTATTCCTCTCATGCTTGGCTACGCGATCGGGAACTCAAAGGTCTAATGTAAGCGAATGATGTTGGTGATGCTGCGTTGGCAATGGTGGAACAGGAATAACAAATGGCGTCAATAACACTTACACATAATAGGGTGACGTTTTAGGAAATGGTCCTTTTTCAAAGCAATTAAACCAAATGTTTAATTGTTCAAAACGTCGCCTATTATATATTTTTGTCCTTTTAAGGCCACAGTGTTATTGACAAACGTGCTGAGTTATACTACCTACGTGTGTAAGTTAGAACGCCAGACGACGACAATTTAAGTGAGAATGAATTAACTGCTGCTGCTGCCTGTGTTTGCAATGTGGTCTCCAGTTCACAATTCGCTCTCTCCCACTGACAGTGTCCACTGCGGTTTGGTCAGGGTCTCCATAGCCACATTCCGTACATCCTCTGAGGTTCCACTTGTGATTGTGGTGGCCGAATCTGGCATCCTGTTGCCATGCGGACGCGATTGAGTCCGATTGAGGAGTCACGGGCTCCATTGTTTTTGGGAGAGGTCATCACCAGGTGGTTAAATATTCCAAAATAAAAATTCCTTGACGAAAGCTATTTTGAGAATTGCTGAGATGTTCATGCATAAATACATGGTTATGCACTGTCCCTGCCGATCGTAATTAACACAGACGGATTTTATGATCATCATTATCAATCATCAGTCGTAACCCTCAACAGCGCACCTCGTCATCAACTCAAAGTCCCGATCTCCCTGCTGGGATCGCGTTGCTGTTGCTGCTGCTGCTGCTGTCACCATCCTGGTATTTCACCCAGATCCGGAAGAACGTGAGCGAGCAGAGTGGAGTAATGCACGGTGTTCACAATAAACACTTCGTTCGAGACCCAACCAATCATCGCACCTTCCTGGCTCTGACAATCCTCCTCCTCGAAGACTCTGGTGGTGCATCAAAACATCAACAGGCCGATGCGCACATCTCCTTAATGAATTAAAATTATAGACACAAGCCACAGTGGTGTGATTGTAGCCGTGCAACGTAAACTATGGATCATGTAGTAAATAATATTCTTGGGTCTTTTGGTAAAGTAACCTAGATAGGTTCAAAAAATAACAAAACATTGTATTTTTTGTTATTTTCTTTGAACCTATCTACGTCACTTTACCGAAAGACCCAAGAATATGAATTCCTGCAGTCACGAAAGCTTTAAGTCTCGTAGTAAAGCACTGTGGTCTGCACTCCTTCAGCGGATGAGGAACAGCTAAACAAGTCTCCCGTGAAGCCCTCTCGTCGTGGCTAGCAGACCTCGACATTGGCATTTAGCTCGTTAATATATTGGCATACTCAAGAATAGAATAGAATCAATCACGATCATACTTCGTTTTAAATTACCATTTATTTTGTAAGTCAGTAGCAGTCGTTAGTAAGAGACTCATCCCAACGTTGAAAAGTGGAATTTTTACATCTGGCTTAGGGGCGTATCACTTTATAATTTTCTGCAAAGTGGTAAAAATATGAATAACTCGAGAAAGATGATGGGCTTCACTTAGCCCTGACCAGGATTTGAACTCACGACCTTTCAAGCTGTGGGGCTGAGCGTTTTGCTAACAGTCCCAACAAATGAACCTTGTCCACGGATTGGCTCTCCATGACTCCCCTCTAATGATCTTTACTCAACCGTGATTTCAAACTCCCAATATCCCATGAGATGTTGTGCAATTTACAAGGGCTCTTGGCACGTTGATGGGTGGCACTGGCAAACGTAGGCATGTACAGTATTTGTAAAAAAAAAAAAATTATATTAATCTTTGTCATGACAGAAAAATATCTACAACTATATGATTTCAAAACATTTGTAATCATTCAGTTTATGCTTCAATGGCTGAATCCCTTTGGGGGCAAAACTTTAGTTTTTCAGCTAATATTTTATGATGGTTTGAATATTCTTTCACAAACAAATGTTACTTTATTTCTCAAAATTAGTAAATGTTGCTGGTGGAAAGTTGTCCATAATGTGGCTGGGATTGAAATAACGATGGTGCTGTTTCTCCACTTCACAGTATTACATGTGTCGTGAGTCATTCAGATACACTATTTAGGAGGCAACAACGTTTATTCCACACTTTATGCAACACCGTTACACACGGGACTAAATACACCTATCTCTCACTCTTGTTACACATAGGACCACAATGCACCTATTTTTCTCGCATACGGGATAACTTTAATCGGGTCAGAGCAGCCAACGTGCTGCTTGACCCACGATGTCGAAGGCGTAGACGAAAACGTAGCACTTGGGTTCCACTTCACCTGCAGATAGCCCCGATAAACGATCGGAGCTTCCCTTTTAATCTCATCGGTGCGGCCTGGCTCCACCCTCGGCCGCGCCTACCTCTGGAATATTCCCAAAGGTTCCAGGCTACCTTACACCTGTTCCCTCTCTGGGATTGTAGTTATAATTGTCTGTCGGAAGAAGGCGATTGTGAGGCTGTGTAGCATGTAACAGCACCGGGTCGTGATTGTGTCTCGGTGTTGTCTGTGCATCTCCGCTGTGGACAGGAAACCTGGGACGTGTGGACTGCATTTCCGAGGTTGAGTACGACCTGTTCATTCGCCCGGACACCTGCAACCCGCGGTACCGCGTCTGGTTTAACTTCACCGTCGGCAACGTGAGAGCAAATCAGGTGGGGTTCGTGACGACGCCGAGACGCACCTCGACGCCAACACCGGCTACGCCACGAAACGTTCATCTCAGACTCGGGACTTCCTTTTAGCTGATAGGACCCCATTGAGCTAAGCTGCGGAACTGAAGCCTGACCAGCGCCGCTGCTGCGAACCGTGACAACGCAACGGCGGCATTCCTCCCCGAGTAAACGACGTGTTCATTCATTAGCGCAGATTTGTGTCATGATTATTTTGGCGGGATCAACATTTGTTGGGTTCAACTACCCCCCGCCTGCCCCTACCCACCTCCCCACCAGTAAATGATAACAGACAGGCAAAACATGATTTTATCCATTGGTGATTTATTCCTGCATGTGTGCTGTCGGCGCTTCTGAAACAGTGGCACCTTGAGGGCCTGATCACTTGAGATTCACAAAACACTAAAATAAGTTTGGTAGGTGGCGCTAATATGTCGCATCTTTATTTACTGTTCTTACATCCCCGGCCATAATGTTAATGGGGTTTCAATCCACACCTTGCTAATTCAATTTACGACGGTAATGTTTAATGTCGGGTGTTGTTCATGTTACACCGCGCTGGACTTATGATCGAGACAACTCGTCATCCGACTGGGTACGGCATCATCATCACCTTCATCACCATCATCACTATCATAATCATCATCACCTTCATCATCATTGCCATTAACGTCATCACCATCATCATCGCCATCATCATCAAGATCATTACCATCATCACCTTCATCGCCATCATCATCATCATAATCATCATCACCTTCATCATGATTGCCATTAACGTCATCACCATCATCATCACCATCATCATCAACATCATTACCATCATCACCTTCATCACCATCATCATCAACATCATTACCATCATCACCTTCATCACCATCATCACCATCATAATCATCATCATCTTCATCATCATTGCCATTAACGTCATCACCATCATCATTGCCATCATCATCAAGATCATTACCATCATCACCTTCATCGCCATCATCACCATCATAATCATCATCACCTTCATCATCATTGCCATTAACGTCATCACCATCATCATCGCCATCATCATCAACATCATTACCATCATCACCTTCATCACCATCATCACCATCATAATCATCATCATCGCCATCATCATCACCAGTAGTATCGTCAACGTCAGTTTTATTTCAACTCTAGCAGCATTATTGTCACTGTCGTCATCAACAGCATCATAATTACCAGCAGCATCAGCAGCAGAGCATCAACATTTGCATCATCAACTCAAAAGCATTATTGATATTAACGTCAGTATCAGCACAATCATCATGAGCAAAAAGGCAATCGTTTGCAGCAGTATCGCTTTTGCCAATAGCGACATCATGATTTTCATCATCAGCAGCATCAGCAGCAACATTCTTATCACAATCATCAGCAGCATGCATTTCAAAGCCTTCAACAGGAGGATGACCGGTGTGCATATTCATGTGGAATTGTCGACAATGGCTTAGGGCAGGGGTCGGCAACCTACGGCTCCGGAGCCGCATGCGGCTCTTTAAGGGCTGCTTCTTGACGATGAGTACGTATGTACTCAGATGCATTGCGGCTCTTGAAATACTGAATTTTGTACCGAATTGGAAAGAAATGGCTCTTCTTTTTATTTTGGTTGCCGACCCCTGGCTTAGGGGCACCTATGAAGGTGCACAGCACCTCGAAGCTTGACCAGAGACTTTCACTGAGACTTCAATCAATACCTGGGTGCAGTATATGAAATACAATCCTATGAATTGTGCCAAGTATGCAGACATGCATACATGTGTAGTGAGTCCAACTGAGTCATAGACGTTATTATTTGGAGGCAACACATGTATTTAACATCAACACGTTAACACAAAGGGGTCACTGCCCCTTTACCAGATACAGCCTCGGGTGGTAACCACTCAGCTAACTACACTTTACATTGGAGTTACAGATACGAAGGGTCGGACCCTAACTGGGGTCGCCGACCACGTGTTGAGGCCTCGTAGGACGTAGAACTTCCCGCTTGTAGAATGCAGCAACCCCGGTTCCTCTCAGGGACCCACCTTATATCCTCCAGGGTCGGGGCGACTCCGCCCTCGGCCCCGTCCACCTTCTCGAGCGTTCTAACTCCCTCTCGATCCCCCTCGAGAGCTCTCCCTGGACACGTGATCACCCCCTAGACCCCCCCCCCCCCACCTGGGGCCTTCTCTGTGGACACTCCAGATCACGTGTCTACGGGGTCAACCAGAGTGCCATGGCCCGGGGCAACCCTGTCCCTGGGCTGACACTCTCCCGCTCCCACTTGTGGGAGCCCGCACTACATGCTGTGCGTGGTGCCCGCGCTATCCCAGCGCTCACCAAGCCCCACTAGGGCTGGTACTACAACCACATACGGGGTTGTTCGCGATGATGGTGCATCGCACGCCGTGCTGTGCTAGAGCCGGCATCACACAGCCACCCACACGGTGCTGTCCGCGACGTAGAGACATTGCACGCCACGGCCCTCCTGGGCCGGCACCATACAGTGACATCCCCGATGGCACTACACATGTAATGATGTTTGATTGGCACATATATATAATTTGGAAGCAACATTAGAGTTATCACCTTACCAAAGACTGATACTCATAATCCCAAACTATTCCTTGGGATTTGTTAGCAACCTTCTTGCTGCGCTGCCACCTACAGCCACCAACTCGCAGGGGTGAGTGTTTCTCGCATAACACTGCTCCCATCCTGTCGCCACCCACCGACTGACCTGCCAACCTGCCAACCCCAAGCACCCGTCACCACGATGACGCAAATGATGCAAAGGACATCGGCCATAAGCCAGCGAGCCAGCCGTCCGGTCGGTCGGCGGGGGTCAAGGAACGTCGCCGCTCATAATGTTATTCCGAAGCGTGCACTTTCGATGTCGCGGTCAAGGCGGGTAGAGAGTCGCTTTACAGTCTCCACGAAAAGTTTGCGTGGATAAAGGTCTTCTTCGGTCGTGATTCGACTGGTAAGGAAATGCCACTCGTTTGAAGGTTAAACCGCCAGGCTGTGCGCATGCCACATTTCACTCTGCTGCCTCGCGCGCTTGTGTGCGTGTGCCTTGTCGTGCCGCTCGTTGCATTCTGATTGTGCATTTATGTCTCGATGCTGTGTCCACGGTGAAGATTACGTTTTAAAATATATGTGATTATTTCGGCGCCTCTGTAACAGACACCAAAGAAATAAATCCTCGGCGGAATAGCGTAATGTGAGCAAGAGGGTACTGTGATGTACAGCGTAGGGCATGTGGCGGACAGCCATAGAGGTCATCAAGAGGAGGGGGAGAGGAGGGGGAGAAGGATGGAAGGTGGCAGCTACGAGGGAGAGGGGTGGACGTTGACGAGGAGTGTATAGTGAAGAGGTCAATTTTGTCATAAGCGAGTTAAAACTGACCACGTACACGTACGTCGTCAGTTCGTCTTCCGATTCCATTCCGACGACGTACATATTCCAATGACGTATACGTACGTATTCGGAATGGATCCGGAATAAAAACTAAAATAAAATAACTTTATTGGTACCGAGGCTCCCACTAGACCATGCGGGAGGGCGTGTGGCACAGTTTGGTGCTAGATATCGTAGAGTGCGGTTGTGTCGCTACGGGTCTCTGTGGTGAGTAGAATGTCTTTAAAAAACAGCGGTGCTACGCCTCTCTACGTAAAATGAAGGCTGAGCTGCTTGCGCCTTCCGAGATTCGGCGGTGAACAGACGTCTCGGAAAGGGAAAGGGTTAATCAAACGTGATTTTTGTAAACATCGCCAAACAGCCCAGCGACAGTGCCCCAGGTTGCTCCGATGTACATACGCATGTTGAACTTCTTTCGCACCCTACGTAGCCAACCACCCAAGACACAACCGCAGTCATACACTTGACCCGGTGATTTAACGGATACAGACTACCCCCATTTCTGATCATTACTTTATCAAATTCGACTTCAAACTCTTACTATCAACACCACGCTCCTATAGGCGTATTATTACACTGGTCGTTTATTAGAAACTATACGCCGTGGATTTATTTGCGGAAAACAATTGAGTCTCTTCACTCCGGATGCGATCGTTGCCGCAATTGATCGCTCTGCGCTTGTGAACATCTTCCAGTTCGTGTGATCAGGCTGTTGATTTACAGAACCGCACGTTGCCCGCCATCCTCGATGAACTTGCACCACATGGCTCGCGGGTGGCATCGTTCAAACGCTCCTGTCCCTGGTTGGATGATGATGATGAGTACGTATGTAGGTGGGTTAAACTGTTCTCGCGGTGGCGAGATGTTAACTACCTCGCCTGGTATACAGGGGGTCGTGGATTCGAACCCGACCCTAACGCCTGTTGTATATTTGGTGTTTGTGTGTCTCTCTTCATGTGGTCGCGTGGATTCTTCTCCGGGTCCTCCGGAGTTTCCCTCCACATTTAGAATCAACGTGCGTTTCGAGTATTTGGCTGCTTTGAATTTCCACATGATGATTAGCCACTTCGTTGCGCTATCATTTGTGGCCAGGTCGTTTCGAAAAAATAGTTTAGTTTCAGTTTGAGTCCGGTCTTAGCCTCTCTTCACTGGCTAATTCCTATCGAGTTCAGAGTGGAGTTTAACATTCTCCTTCACACGTATACGACTCTCGAAAGTGGCCAACACCAACTAATCTCACAGATTCGCCCCCCCCCCCCAGCCACACCACCTCCCCACGCCCCCCTCAGCACCACCACCCCCCCACGATCCTCCTAAGCATCACCACCCCCTCACACCCCCCCTAGCCGCACCCCTCCAGCCCCACCACCCCCCCCACGCCCCCCCAACCCCACCACCCCCCCACGCCCCCCTCAGCACCCCCCAGCCCCCGCGCCCCCCTGGCCGCACCCCCCCCCCCCCACAGCTGTGGAGCGAGCGCCGTGCCCAGTGGCGCGCTCGTGATTCGGAGACAATGGCCGCCGTGGTTTGACCTCAGATTGGGCAACAAT